ATATATATATATAACTTCCAATTGAAGTGCGGAACAAAGAAAGACAAACTAGAATTGTACTGTCCAGATCTGCCAAAGTTTGACAGTTTCTCACAGTTTATCATATATTTATAGACTAAACAAGTTTTCCTTTAGATGGTTGTGTTACTAAAAAAACACAACAGAGCAGTTCCAGTCTAGAAGTGTGTAACAGAAATAAATCTGACAGGTTACTGTGACGTAATCATACCTGATAAGAGTGACACAATAATAAAAACACCACTCTGTCAGCTAATCAGTCTGATTAAAGTTACTAAAAGGCTGCTGTGTGGGGGTAAAACAGCTTTTTGTCTAGATGATAGTCTTTAAAATTGCATTCTGTGCATTTTTTAAAACATTGTGCAGTCTTTTGATTGATTTAACAGGAGCCTCTGATACAGCTCAGCAGGACATTTTCTTGGAAAGCTTCAAACGTTAAACTTTCTCAGCAGGAAGCTGAACGGTTTAGAAGCAGGGGACTTGTCCAACACAGTGTGTGTGGGTGGAAAGACTTTATGAATTCAAGGGTGTTCAACAAGGCCCCATCACAGGCCCATGTCTTTTTATTATTTATACAACTGTTTAGATAAAAGTGCAGCACACACTTATTTATGCTGACGACACTGAAGTGTGCTGGCAGCACAATAAAACACAAAGAGCTTTTCCAGATGCTACAAGCAGTTATAATGCAGTTCAGTCTAATCTGTGTTATGTAAAATGTTTTTATTGGATGATTATAAATCAATCAACGGTAAAGCTATTTTATAATCCCAAGTCCAAACCACAGTTGTCCATTTCAAGATGACCTCAGAAAACATACAAAACTCAGTCATTTTACAAACACTGAGCTCCTTCACCTTGTAGTGGAGAATCAATCACAACATCTTCACTGAGGGTAACACCTCACAACAACACAACACAACACTGCAACTTGTGTTGTTTTAAAGGTTTTACCAAAACCACTACAACTCATTTCTCATTATAAAAACATCTGGTCTGAAACTCCAGGAGAAAAGAAGGCCTTAGTCAAACTTTAATTAAAATATGACTAGATTTAATATTTACACAGAAGGAAATAAAGTAAAACACACCGCTGCATCTTACCTTGTTTTTTCAGCTCCTCCATTTGTTCGTCCTTCAGATCGAGCTGATCAGTGAGACGAGATGCTGACTCTAAAGCAGCGTTAGCTTCATCCAAGTTTATCTGATAAGACAAGAATATTTAGTTGTAATGAAACGTTGAGTTTGCATGAATTAGACTGAGCTCTGTTATTAAGTGACTGCAGAATTACCTGCAGAGCCGATGCTTGGTCTTCAAGCACAAGTGCTTTTCTTTTCCACTCCTCTTTCTCCTTCTTGTGCTTCTCAAGTTCTGCTGAGTACATGGCCTTCTCCTCTGAGAACAAAATTAATTCATTACTACAAAAAATGAGAATTGTCTAATGGGATGTCCCACTGGGTAAATGAAAGAAAACAATAAAAGCTAGTGTGATAAGAGTTTGTGGGAACTTGCCTTGTTGGAACTGCTCCAGCACCATCTGTAGGTTGGACAGCGACACTGCGTACTGGTTGACCTGCTCCTGAGACGTCCTGAGTTGTGCCAGGGCGTTGTCCCTCTGCTTCACGGCCCCACTGAGCTGCTCCTGCAGAGACTCCACCTGCAGGCTGGCCTGTTGGCTGAAAAGAGCAGAGAGGTCACCTGCAGCCTGACCAAACAAGGAGGTAACAGGAGCTCACATGAAAGAGACGAGACAATCACAGCACAAAGCTTTGCTTAAAAATATTTACAGATATAGTTTTCAATAGTTGATTAAAGACAAATAATCATGATTATATCACAATTAATTTTATTCTCTGAAACGTCTTAATGATGTRAACATGTTTTAAAAATGTCTCATGTAGTAGAATATTAACATTTCAATATTTAAATGAAAAAATGTCTAAAGTTTAATGAATCTTGAATACTTTAAAGAAAAATACAGCAAAGAGTTTCAGTTAAACTTAAAATCTATCATTTGTAAATAATAAACATTTTGTAACATTTGTGCAGTTTGGGACCACCAGGGGGCGCTACAGGGGCCTCAAAAAGCTGGAGGTAGGATAAAACAATGCTAAACTAAAAAAGTATTAATCTAATAAATGTTTTAAATCATCATAAAACTGATTCTGTTTTTCAGTCAATATTTTAAAGTATAATAATATATTGAAATGTTATTTAAGAGAAATTTGATTTATTTTGTTCCATTATTG